TGTTTGATCCAAATTTCAATTTTCTAGGCTCTAGCTTGAGATAATTAGGGAAAGGCACCTTCTTTTTCTTTTATAGGATATCAACCCTATTTGCAGGGTCACCCCATTAAAAAATATATGCATTTATTTTTTCAAATAAAAAATTCAAAAAATAAATTTACTTGTTAAAATTTAGTTAGTTTAGTTTAAACATATTGTATTCGCTCAAAGCAAAAAGGATAAGACACAAATAAAACATACTTAATATGAAGTCTTCTCCATATAACAATACAAATTGAATGTGAGCATGCATTATATAATATAAACATCATAAATATTACTAAACTGAAAAAATTCGTAAGGGTTCCGCGGAACCCAGTGTCTCGCTTACTTTTTCTGTTAATCGCAGGCTCAACAAAAATGAGGAAGTAAATCAATAAAAATATTCCTCTTGATACTATCTTTTGGTTGTAAGAAGCTTCTGTCCAAGTTTGGTAAAAACCCAGGATAGTTTATGAATCTAATAAATGTTTAAAAACTTTAATTGCAGACTGAATGTAATGTTAACTGGAAGAAAACAAAATTTCCTTCTAGATACTAGCATTTGATCATAAACAAGCTTTTGTCCAAGTTTGGTACAAATCCAAAATAGTATAAGAAAGTAATTAAAATTTTAAAAACTTTAACCACAGAGTGAATATGTTGTTTCCTGGCAGAAAATCTAAGTCCATTTAAAAGTAAAATACGGAAAAAATGGATTTATTTTTTTACAAAATTTCCTTCTAGATACTAGCTTTTGATCATAAACAAGGTTCTGTCCAAGTTTGGTACAAATCCAAAATAGTTTAAGAAAATTATTAAAATTTTAAAAACTTTAACCACAGAGCGAATGTGTTGTTTCCTGGCAGAAAATCTAAGTCCATTTAAAAGTAAAATAAGGAAAAAATGGATTTATTTTTTTACAAAATTTACTTCTAGATACTATCTTATGATCATAAACAAGCTTCTGTCCAAGTTTGGTACAAACCCAGGATAGTTTAAGAAAGTTATTAAAATTTTAAAAACTTTAACCATAGAGTGAATGTAATATTTCCCGGCAGAAAAACTAAGTCCATTTATAAGTAAAATACGGAAAAAATGGAATTTTATTTTTATAAAATTTACTTCTGGATATGATCTTATGATCATAAACAAGCTTCTGTCCAAGTTTGGTAGACATCCAGGATAGTTTAAGAAAGTTATTAAAATTTCAAAAACTTTAACCACAGAGTGAATATTTGTGGACGCCGCCGACGACGACGATGCCGACGGAATGTAGGATCGCTATGTCTCGCTTTTTCGACTAAAGTCGAAGGCTCGACAAAAAAGGAAAGGGGATAAAAAAAAACCCAGAGATTAGGATGATGATAATGATAAAATTTAGTTATATATGTCTATTGTGTATTTTTTATATTGATGTTGGGTATCTGTTTCATCAACACATACATCATTTACAAAATAATTTCTAGTACTAACATGGTTTAACTTTGAAGACAGCATCAATTAATTAACTATATAATTGAATACATTTGACAATTCTCAGTGGACAAAGGAATTTACAAGAATACAATAAGTGTACTCTCTAAAATACTTACCATAATGTTTCTCCATTGTTTTTCCTTTTGCCAATACATGTGTATATATTATCTTTTCACAATTCCAATCTGTGTTGAATGATCTCTGGATCTGGAAACAGTAGCTACAAAATATGTTAAGAGACTCATGTGATTTTTCTAGCATTAGTCAAAATCTCTTGTTTTTAGACCCTCTTCAGCCCCTCCTATTAAAATCATAATCTTCCACTTTTTGATAATTTCAATCTGGAAATATTTCAGTAGACATACTGATGTTTATATACCTACCTACAGATGCCTTGTATATAGTTTCCAAATAATTTAGAGTACAAATCAATAATAAAATACCTGAAAATATGAAAAAAGCGGCAACTTTTGAATTAAAAGCTCATCAAATATTTATACTTTGTGAGTATGCATTGCATATGCCTTTTAATTATAGAATTGCAAAGCACACATTATTTGGTAAAACTGTGGATTCATTATTTATTTGTCTGGTACTGACTCTCATGGATTTCTTTGGTATAGGTTAAGCACAAATTAACATGTTCAACAAAGGTAAAGCACAAATTAACATGTTCAACAAAGGTTAAGCACAAATTAACATGTTCAACAAAGGTTAAGTACAAATTAACATGTTCAACAAAGGTTAAGTACAAATTAACATGTTCAACAAAGGTTAAGTACAAATTAACATGTTCAACAAAGGTTAAGTACAAATTAACATGTTCAACAAAGGTAAAGTACAAATTAACATGTTCAACAAAGGATAAGCACAATTTAACATGTTCAACAAAGGTAAAGCACAAATTAACATGTTCAACAAAGATAAAGCACAAACTAACATGTTCAACAAAGGTAAAGTACAAATTAAAATGTTCAACATAGGATAAGCACAAATTAACATGTTCAACAAAGGATAAGCACAAATTAACATGATCAACAAATACAAATTTCCTTAAGGAAATGCCCCTTTAAGGAATGAGAATTTTTGAAAAATTACAAACTGATGCATCCATCAAAAACAATTTATACTTGAACTATTTGTATCCATGAAAGTAAATTAAATGAATCCACAGTACCAGGTAGTTATATTCTTATGCTAAATAAAGACCTAAATGCACCCCTTCCTTTGTAAATTTCATGTGCTTCTAAAATTAAAACAAGTATGGGTAAGTTTAAAATCAAAATTTTGAAGGACACCTTCAAATAACTTGACTTGACTTAAAATCATTAATGGTTAGGTTAGAATTTTGGCTGAAATATACTACTGCAACAGTTTGTCATCATAACTCCTCTGAAACCACACAACAGAATTTCATGAAACGTTGTAGTTAATGAGGACATAATATGTAGATATGCATATCCATAAGTTGCTATGACACGAACAGGACTGACGGACAGACAGGTCATAAACATTATACCCTACGCAACTTTGTTGTGTGGGGTATAAAATAGATGGAAACAAGTCCTCAAAGCACTACACAGAAATTAATAAAGAGAGCAAAAACTAGGGGTATTCTGAAAGGATAAGCAGTTCTTGCTGTACAAAGTGGAATTTGTTATGTTTCTTCATTTGTTATACATGTTCAATGCATTGAATTTAAATTATACAAAATCAATGAAATGGAATGATTGTTTTCAGAAACAAACTCAGCATTAGTTCTAGCTATACATTTTTAAATGATCATATTTTAAAATAAGTTTTTGTCTCTATGCTGTGCCATTATCTTTACACAGAACTTCAGAGGGGTGTAAAACTATCTATACTCATTTCTAAATGGGTAGCAGATGTGTCAATATCTTGACAACGAGCATTAGCAAGGTGTAAAATGTTGACAAATATAATACCATGTTCAAAAGAGCATAGGCCGTACTGTGACATAGAATTGCTGATATCAACGTCATTTCAACTCTGGTGGATAGTTGTCTCGTTTGCAATCATATCACATCTCCTTATTTTCATATAGAACTTAAATTTCTGATATCAAAATATAGTACCTGTACTTACTTCTCAACATTTGGATACAAACTATCTAAATTAGTCAGCTCTATAAAATGGGTAACAAAAAAAGTAAAAGCCTGTTGAAAGAAATGATATGAATTAGAAGAACTGAACAAAAAAAATTTTAGGCATATTTTTTATAAGGCATTAGTATATTACAAACTAAATTTGGTTTACTTGTCTCCTTCCACTTTTTCCAAAAACAGTGTCCACCATTATATCACAAAGAAAATGTTTCTTGTATTATGTACTTTAAATATTCCTCAGAGTTGTCTTTCATTTTTTAAGTTCATGGTGGACTGTCCATACAGTTAGAATATTACAGGAAACAATTGCTTCTGTTCTTTGAAATCATGAAATCATGACTAGCATACTCCTTTATACAAGAAAAGGTTATCATTGTGCTATCTGCATTTAAAGTACTGCTGTTATCAAAAGTTTCATTCACATTTTGTCCAATAAGGAGTTTTGTGATGATGCCAGATCTTTGATCAATTCTTTTACATTTGAATAGACTTAATAATGACATAATTGTTACAAAACTATAAGTACCTTTATTCCTAGTAGGAATTCACAAACTGAATGACATATTCCAACTCCTTCTTCAGCACTTGTACCTTAAAAACAACTATAGTATGAAACAAGTGTAACAGTCATGACAGTATTCTTTAAATATGGATTGCTAAAACAATATTGTCATTAAAATAGGTATTAAGTCTGCAATTCTTAAGATTTTATGAAACCTTCTCAAATACAGGGAAAATGTATCCACTACTTCTCTGAATTTAAGAACGTGAAATTGAAGGAATAGCCTTCAGTTTTGAAAAATAATTTGATAAGCTTTTATCAAGTCATTTGAATTTCAAGAAATAGAAATTCATTCTTAAATTGAGGTCTTCCTGAAAAAAAACCTATATGATTGTAAGAAAAACTTTAATATGTAATGAAGAAATAAGTTTTTACTGTATGACTGCATAAACTCATCTCAAAGTTACCAAGCTTATTATTATGTATGCCAGACGCATGTTTCAACTAAACAAGACTCATCAGTGATGTTTGGATCAAAATAGTTAATGAATAGCTGCGCCACGAGCGCATGATACGCCCGTCGTCTTGTGTGTGAGGTTTTATGCAATAATCATAAATCATTTCTGAGATACGGCGCGACATGTGAAAACCCCCCTTTTTTTATAAAAAAAATCAATAATTCTAAAATAAAATTTTGAATCGTCACCAAAAAGTATACAGATCTTAAGATTAATATAACTAAGAAGTGTGTAAAGTTTTAAGCAATAATCATAAATCGTTTTTGAGATACGAAGCGACATGTGAAAAAAACACCCCCCTGTTTTAGTTACAAAGTCCTGCAACTCAAAAAGTTTTAATCTTATTTTCACCAAAAAGTATAGCCCTTTCCGATAACTAGGTTATCTTTCCTGAAATTTGGAACTCTCCTGTGAAAGGAGATAGTGGTAAAAGTACTTCCGGTAGGTACCCGGCAAATTGAAACGTAACTGGTTGCACGGCAGATAAAGTCAGAATATAGCGAGATATAGTCATGGGAAAACTATATTGTTGTGCTACAAATTGTCATAACTATAGTGGCAAAAGCGTAAATGGCAATACTGTGACTTTACATAGGTTTCCTGTACACAGAAGACACAAATCTATATGGCAATGCCGTGTCAGTCGCAAACAATGGAAGCCAACAAGTTGTTCCAGACTTTGTTCAGAGCATTTCATAACCAAGAGAGGTCCAACAAAAGATCATCCATTGCCTTCAATATTTGACCACAAGATATTTAAGACAACAAACGTAAGTATTTGTTTTTATTTCTAAACACTTTTAAAAAGTTTTATTGTGTGTTTTTAAAAGGTGTCGGAAGTTCAACATATACATGTCTATAAATCATTTGTTTTAAGTGTTTTTAAGAAATTATTTAAAAGTTTTTGTTACAATACTGGTGTGATTTATTATAATTTCATGTGTGTATATTATTTCTATGGCCATATCAGATGTTTAAAGGTGTCCAAAAACATACATGACATGTACAAAAAGTGTAATTTCATGTACATGATTTCCATTATCGTTTGCCCTTGGACTTTTATCCCTATCTTTTATTAGCCGGCAGCATACACCGACCCAATTGAAAGAATAAGAAAAGCATGTATCATATGGTTCTCTTTTTTGGTGCCTACACCATGTACAATAATTAATATTGACACATCCTGAACTCTTGGAAATTGATTTTTAAAAGTTTAGACATGCCATTTCATGTCAGGAATCTCTCAAGAAATTGTTAAATATGTGGTCCATTCGTGTATATATATTATATGTATATCAATTACTCAAAATATCTTCTTTTTTTTTCTTTATTTAAAGCATATTTTTGTATTTGTATTCCATGCCTTTATATATGTGTATTTAATCCTTTAATAAATTAGCAGTCTTTTGCTTCATATATCTGATTTGCCCTTTTTTTTTTTTTTAGTTTGATTCATCTTTTAAAGAATTTGAAGAAAACAAGGATTGTACTGAATATGAAGCAGATCATGATATCATTTGTGATGGAAACGAAGAGGCAAATAATGACCTAGCTGATGACCCAAGTAAACATTTTTTCACTGTTGACAATCCTTCTACTATAAATACTTCTGTCATGTTGAACGATTACTGTGGTTATATTGATCCGTCACATATCAGCTCTAAACTTAATCAGGAAACACAATGCGAAAATACATGTACTGGTATTTTAAATGACACTAGTTCACAGACTGATACTTTAACAACAGAAAAAGAAAACAAACCTTATATACTGTATTCCCTATCACGGATGCTGAAGTTAACACTACACTGCCATTTTTAGCTATTGAAGATCTCAGTAGTGAGGAAGTAACATTTTATACAGGTTTACCTTATAAGCCGACATTTTATTTATTGTATGAACATATAATGTCAAATAGAAAAACTGTTGACCCAGAAACTGGAGGTAGACCTCAAAAACTTAGAGGTGTAGATGAATTTTTTATGGTTCTTATGAGATTGCGTCTGGGTTTACTTACTCAGGATTTGGCACGCCGTTTTAATGTTTCAGTTTCAACTTGTAGTAAAATATTTAACAAATGGATTGACCTGATGTATGAACATTTAAATTTCCTTGTTGCCTGGCCTGATAGAGAAACTGTCAAATGTAATATGCCTGACAGTTTTAAAAGGAGGTATCCAAATTGTCGTGTAATTGTAGATTGTACTGAAATATTCACAGAAACGCCACAGTCATTATCTAATAAAGGAAGAATGTATTCTGACTACAAGTCACATATGACATGGAAAGTTTTAATAGGAATAAGCCCGAATGGTGTGATTACTCATGTATCTGACCTTTGGTCAGGTAGTATATCAGATAAACAAATAACAAAATCTAGTGGTCTTATTGACAAGTGTGAACCAGGTGATGCAATAATGGGGGATAAAGGATTTCTTATTTCTGACATGTGTACTCCGAAAGGAATTTATCTCATAGTACCACCAACCAAAAAAAATGGCAAATTGACAAAACATGAAGTTGAAAAAACAAGGAGGATAGCTAATCTTAGAATACATGTGGAGCGTGCCATGGAAAGAATTAAAAACTTTCGTATTATACAAGGAGTTATGCCAATTTCTATGTCAGAAAAAGTATCAAAGATTGTATTTATTGTTTGTGCTCTTTGCAATTTGCTTCCACCTCTTATTCAACAATAAGTTATAATTGTTTCACTTTGTAAATACAATCATTGTCACACGATTGTTTAGCATTGATAAGGATTATGTAGTCAAACAGTTTTCACTCTGTCCTTCTGTCTGTCAACAATTTTCGAAAACACAAAAACTCCAAAAGTATATATTAATGTTTATTTATGACCCCAAATGAAATTTTTGTTGTTTACATATGTATAATAAGCATGATTAACAAGGAATAAATTAATTTCAACATGATACAATTAAACGTTTTTCAGCATGGATTCATAGTATGTTGATTTTATAACACAAAGAGATGTGTTGTGATAGCCAATGAGAAAACTATGCACCAGAGAACCAATAACGTGTAGTTTGCCTTGAGAACTTCGAAAAAAAAATCCATACACCATACATGTACCAAGCTAAAACAGGTTTGACAACAAAATGTAAAACAAATCAAAAGAGAAAACCACTGGTTAAAATTTGTTTCATAAGGTAATACATGTACATGTATGAATAAAAGGATTTATGGTTTATACATCTTTGACACAGCAATCATGCTGTCCTAATATCGGTCACTGTACTTCACAGAATGTTTACAGCTTATTTACATGTGAAGCACACCATGGTGAAAGTCTTGTTTTAGTGTTGGGATAATATGAACCATCATTTGCAAATTACAATGTATAGCGTAGGCTACAGATTTTGAGTGTTCATTCAGGAATAAATTTCAGATATCTGACGTGACTTTCAGGTTCACCCATTCTCAGACTTTTCTAATTCACTTTGGAGTCAATTACATTTTGATGGGTACCAATTTTTATGGATTAATGAAACTTGTCTTTCCTCTGGATATTTGATTGTGGTTTTGATAAAGCCTGCATACAAGCCTTTTAATATTTTTTTTTTTATTTGATCATTTAAATTCATGATTTTACCTTCACAAATTGCAAGAAAATTTGTATACAACAATAAAGAATGAATCCACAGTAATTAATATGACTTTTTTTGTGTGCATTTAAGAAATACTATTAGAAAAGATAACTAAATTTTAATGTGTGGACTCGCAACTGCCATGATTTTTTTGGACTAGAAATATATAAATATAAACAGGTATGTAAATGTACATGTCTCTTATTCACGTGTTAAAGTAACTTGATGAACTAAAGCACTTGAAATTTTAAAACCATAAAATATCTCCTGTTCAAATACATTGTTGCACATTAAACGACTAATCAGAGAGAAGTTAATTGTACAATTTCAGCCTTCGTTTTACACGGCTTGTAAATAGTTCTGGTATGATGGCACTAGAGAAAAATGCATTTAACTTAGGTAACATGATGTTTTCCCAAAGTTCTTTGTCCCAGTCTATTGTTTCAAACTCCATCCCTTTATTGGTCCAAACAACGAAATGGCACCATGTGCGTTTAGTTATTGCTAGTTGTCCCTGCACTTGGTAGTAATATGAATGATTACGTTTAAGTCTTAAACGGCCAAGACTATCCACTTCACAAAAAAAATTGCTCTGTCTTGCAGCTTCTAACGGATGCAAGTCTCTTAGGGCATAAGGACATTTTACCTCAATCACACCATGATATGGTTTACAATGCGGACAATAAATTAATCCATCAGGAGTAGCACCCAAATGAGGCAAATGTTCATTTATAATGACACCATTTTGTGTAGCTGTGAGTGGTGGATGACTCTCCCTTACACGAATGAGATAGCTATCAATAGCTATTTGTTCATGATCTCTGCCCCAGCTGATTGCTGCATTTGTGAAAGATGGTGTGTACTCCAAAAGATACTTAATTAGGTTGTCAGGTTCAGTGTCTGCCTTTCTCCTGACTATGTTCCCAAATTTTGATGCTGTTAGGCGCCCTCTACGCACCTGTTTCCATAGAGGGTTTTTGTGTTGCTCTCTTGTAGCCATTTCAATTTTACTGCATTCATCTTTCGTAATTTTTAAACTATCAAAATAGGATGAAAAATGTTGAACACATTCAATACTTGAAATATCAACTGAATCCATGTATGAAAAGTTTATATTATGCAGTTTTGGCAATGTTGATACATTTGTACAAGTTTCAGAAGCTGAAGTTTGAGGAAAGTTCTTCAACCATCCTGCATCAGGGTTTACATTCATAAGTCTTTCCTTAAAACTCTGAATTACTGGAGTTGACAGATCTTTAGAGAAAGATGCATTAAGACTGTAAAGGGAAACTTTTCTATCAGGAGACTTAAATTTATTGAATACCATTTCTTGCGATTTTTTAGGAGACAAGTTTCTGTTGCGTTGCTTTATCCATTCACAAGCCTTTGAGGTTGGTGCAATCTTTCCAGAATATTTCTGCTGTGTAATGTCTGCTATGCCATACAGAAGGGCTGCAATGTGATTACAGGATTCTCCAGCCCTGAAAAAAAATTCTTTATCAATACTTGTAGTCAAATAGCTATAAAAACAAACGAAAAAATAGTTGAAACACTTTAAAATAATGGTGTTACCATAATAAGAGCTCTTGCTAAGGCCAGAACATGGAATAAACCAAAAAACTTCAGTGAAGGATCTAGATTCTAAAGGGACACACCAGAAATTCATAGTTTGCAATGTGAAGGGTATCTATAAAAATGTGAAATATTTAATGAACCATTAAATATCCAAGGGTCCAAAATGCATTCTAAATAAATATAATGTCTGTGGTGTTGCGAATAAGGAAACTTTATTAACATTAATTTATTGGAATTAGATTAGGGATAGGCAGTGAATGTACATGTAGGTAAAAAAAAATAAGCTTGCTTCTACATTGTAAGAATGGTTATTATTTTTACTGTCATGCTCTAATTTATGATTTTTAAGTACATGTAATCATTTCATGTTGCTTTAAATAATTATCAGTTGATCATTAATTAAAGATATCACAGTGTTGACATGATTTAATTTAATTCACAACATGAACCTTGATTGTGAAAATTTGTCCAAAAACACATGTTCTACCTATGACCATATAATCTAATTGACACCTATAAGATAATCTTGATTGGTTCAGTATATTAATTTATTACAGGAAAACCTGCCATTTTACAGGTACAAAATGTAGTCTGTCTGCACAGCTTGGTCTTGTTACCAGCTGATAACAGGAAATAATATAGTGTCAATGAAATTGAATATGATTATTTGATCAAAAATAAAATGAGACAAAAAAAAAAGGTCATTTATTATGTGTGTAATTAAATTTTTTTTATATTGTTTAGTGAATTTAACTCCATGTAGACCTTAAAAAAAAGCAATACCAAAAATGTATGTAAAATTACTCAAATGGTAAAATAAAAAAAAAAATCCAATCAAATTCAAATTACTTAATTTGGGAATAATCATACTAAGTCAAAAATCGAAATAATTGAACTAAGAGATTAAAATCATTAAACTCTCTTTATATATTTTTACTGATCCGTTTTTACATTACCAGATCTACAAAATAAAAATGTCTTATTTCTAGCAGTAGTATTTTTTTAAATAAGAATTAAATGCATGTGATGCACTAACAAATCAATTTTTGCTTTATATTGACGATTGTTCATAGATTTTGCAAAAAAAAACTATTTTAAAGAGACTTACCCTGCTACACAGTTACACTCTGCATTATGAACCCTCCCAGTAACTTTAGACAAAAACACCCAAGTCTGGTATGCTGGCTTCTTTTTCTTATCCTTTGTTGGGATAGACGGGAGACAGTGGCACTTGATAATGCAGTGGGAGCACTTTGCAGATATTTGGTGGCACTTTATGTCAGAAATGTGTCCTTCCTGATAAAAAACCTTTGCCTTCAGTTGCCGTCTAGCTCCCATTTCACTGGCATCGTAGGACCTATGTCTACTAAGCACTAAAAAGTTATACAGTTCTTTATGCGTGAAGTCCGGAAATTGGTCACAGTTAGAAGACCAACCTTCTTTTAATTCTGACGGACTTGGTAAATTTTCACCTAATGGCGTGAGAAGAGGCGACTTAATATCATCCAGCACTCGGGGTGCATTATTGTTTATGTCAAGGCCCAGGGCTTTAGCTCCTTTTGCCCGCTCTATTAATTCGGGCTTATTTCCGAAAGTTGGCTGGTTACACTTCTTCAGAAAATCCTGTAACTCTTTCTTTTTCCAAGTACTAAAGTCACTTTCCATTGCTATCTCAAAAAACTGTCCTGTCTCACGTATGTATCGATATATAATAAACTAGTAACTGATGGATGGGGGGTTGTTAGGAACGCTGGTAGGTTGTACCTACCGGAAGCAATAAATCTCCGATAGCGGAGAACGCCTAAAGGGAAATAACCTAGTTATCGGAAAGGGCTATACAGATCATTTGATCACCATAAGAAACAACAATGTAAAGTTTCATGAAATTTGGATAAGTCGCTCTCAAGTTACGGTGCGACATGTGGACGCCGGACAGACGGACATTTGTATACCATAATACGTCCCGTCAAAATTTTGACGGGCGTATAAAAAGCCAAATCAAGTAACAAGTTGAAGAGCATTGAGGACCAAGCAATTAGAGAATTATGCCAAATATGGCTAAGGTAATTCTATCTTATCTTGTAAGATATATAAACAGGCCTATACCTATATCTACTACAAAAAGATATACCTCTTCCAAGTTCGTCAATTATAATCAAAGATTTGTCTGTTGAGTTCTGTACAATGTAGTTAATTTCTCTCATCTGAAAAATAAGTACCTTTCTTAATCAAATTAATATAGAGCAGGTTTATAGTAGACACAAATTGAAAGACAATTCTTCATATAAGATATTTGTTGTTACTTTCAATACATATATACATTTTATTCATATAGCAATATACCGGTACCTCATTTAAATATGCTTGTAATATATTCGACAAGAATCTTAGTATGAAATATCTACTGTCTTTATTTCTTCTGTTTTAATTTTGTCCCCACTCTTTACATTACAACATATAAGTCAATAATATCTGGTCAATATTTCCAATATTTTCTAGTCTTAATTAATTTTTTTTGCTGTTCTTGCTGTTATTATGTTTCATTGAAATTTTATAATTTGCTATTTGCGTAATCCTAAATTGACCTTGACCTTTCTCCTATACCAACCTCAACCATAAATGTGGAGGAGTTAGTTTCCATGTCATCATCACTACCAATCCTAGAAAAGATCTGATTGGTTATTCTAAATGAGGCGTAGTCTGCAGGAACGTAGGATCCAATCTGTGCCATGATCTGAAGCATTGCAATCTGACGTAGGTATGTGCTCTTACCACTCTGTAAGTATGAACAATATGGTAACTGGTATAAAATCAATTATAGGCTTTAATTACAATGTACTGGTTACATCATGGGTTTTGGTTACATTGAAATACACAAAGATATATAAAATAGTTTTTTCCAATATTTGATAAATCCATATTCCTTATCTCTTTGCATGTTTTATGATTTTTATTCATAATACAATATGTAGAGTAGTTTCAAATTGGAAGCACCTTCATAAACAAGTTGCAAAGCAGATAAATTATTTACTTATTTTCCTGTGTTGATGCCATTCAAGTGGTAACTCAGAAGTTGTTAACATGATATATTACATAGTGTAGCATTCTTCTTTTTTCATTGGTTATTACAATCACATGATTCAAAGGATATTCCATGTAACTGAAGCCTTGATTCTATTTTTAAGTTTATTGACGCTATGTTTCTATTTATAAAAATATTGACGCTATATCTCTAAATTTAGATCCGGATATAAGCCGTTCCAGTCCAAAATTACTCTCCACCACAGAAAGAACATTGAAGCCAATTTCAATAATACACTATTTACATATGTAGTATATAAATTAAGGACTTTCACTCAGTCCATACTAAATATATATGGACCTATTAGATTACATTGATCCTGGGACTTCGTCCTCGGTCAATATAATATGAACAGGTTCATATATAATGTAGTGACCAAATCTAAATTCCATAACTGATAACTATGTTCTACTGTATAAATCAAACAAACATAAGACACTATAACAATGATAGAGTGGTACTAACCATATTAGGTCCTGTTATAACAATAAAGTTGCTGTCATCAGATGCATACTACAAATATAAAAAGATTAAAGGTTTCTATTCATAAAATACTAACATTCACAGGGGTTAACTGAAAGCAAAGAGTACTAGTTTAAACCACTACAAATTTTGTGCCTGTCTAGCCATCTAGCCAAAATATTGTTCTTTGTTACTAGTCTTGGTCTGCTTTCTCTCTTCTATATGTTAGTTGTTGGTTGTTGGTTGAATATTGTTATTTATTGCTAGTCTTTGTCAGCGTTTTTACTTCTTCAAGTTGGTTGTTGGTTGGTGCAGTTTAGTTACATATATTAACTTTTTATTTGTTTATTACTAATTATTTTACTTTTGTTTGTTATTTTACAAACATTTAAGCATGTACATTGTCACAAGGTGACTTTATTTACTCGTATATGTATAGTTATTTTGGTTGATGTATTCTATTTCAATTTGCAGACCGTCAGTATCTTATAAATTGTATATTCTGCAAACTACAGTGTATAATGCATGTCCACATTTTACATCTAATTAATTAGGTGGTGTCCACTTTTTACTTGGGCATTTACCTGTAAACTCGTCGAACGGGTTGAGTATCACGTGATACCTGTTCTTGATGAGCTGAGTATTCATTATCAGGTAACACCTTAACGAGTGAAGGTGTGGCTGGTGTATATATGTTTAAAATTTAGTTTGCAATGTGGCGTGGATGCACTCACTGGATTTCTGAGGTAGGATTCAATTTATTCTTATTGTTAATATTTATTCGTGCTAAAATGTTCAGTTTTCTGCAACAATGCAAATATATGATATTTATTTACATTTCAATTTCTGACATTGTAATTTTATCAACGAAATAAGTTAATTAATGTTCTATATAATGATAGTTTAGAACATGTGTATGCTTCCGCCTATAGTAAATAAGTGATTATCGAAACAGTTAGTATTTTATGTAACTTTGCTTACGATAATGCAATGGTGTATGTATCTCCATAAGTATGTAAAGCAATATGCAAAGTATGTATATTCAGCGTTAAAGCTATATATTGTGTGAAGTAATTGTATAATGGCATTATACGACATAGTCAAGTATGTGACATGTAACGTAAGGCATTACGCGATATGCCATACTGTAAATTCAGAAATTATTGCGAAGTTTTTATTATTGCGAAAAATGCGACATGGTTATAATCGCAATAATTTAAACTCGCATTTTGAAATTTTTTATATAAATTAAACAGGATTTTTCTCAATATCGCAAAAATTGAAATCGCATTTTAGTCTAAAATGACAAAATCGCAATAATAAACGCACGCAATAATTTCTGAATTTACAGTAATTATTTATTGTGTAAAGTAAAGCATTAGTTAAGGTGCCGCAATCTTCTATAGATTGAATGCATAAGTAGTCGTACTTAGTATTGATAATACTGTGTGTAAAACATAAGCCTATTTATATGTCTTAAGTAAATTAAAGCATTATAACGTATACTATGTTTTTCGATAGGTCCCAGTCAGAGTGTTGAGTAGTATGATGTAGTTATTAGTATGTAGTTTGGAGATAAACAGCCAACAGTACAAGTAATAAGCCATCATACAAGTAATTACTTGTACAAAATGTTTGTAAAGTAATAACTTGCACAAAATATTAACATGTACACGACATATATACTGAAATGTAATAATTCTTATGAGTACTTAACATTGTAATTCTCATGTCGATTCAAAAGTTTTATCAAATCAATAAAAAATAATTGTAGTTTGAACAAAAAAGAACTGTACTTACTGTATTATTAGGTACAGGACTATCACAGCAGATCTTTTCTAGGATTGGATGTCTTCCCTGTTTGATAGCCAAAGTGTCCGTGAATTCTGGTCTCACTGTTTAAACAATAATATGTTATATTGAAATAAAAGCCTCTTTAAAAGTCTTATTTTATAATTGTTTTGACATTTAACAATCATGACAATCTGTGGGTAAATTTTTGGGATTTCAAACCAGTGCTAGGGGGCGTCTTAAACATGCAGTGAGGTGTGTTTTTTATCCGTGTTGAAGGCCTCGCTGTGAATCTGAGATAAAGAACAGCAATAAAAGCGCTGTTCCTTTGCTTTTTTGTGTTTTTTGCTGTGCATGTACTGATTATGTACCTTGGATGGATACCGCATATCGTTTCTTTTCTATTGGTTTGATTTTCAATATTATCAACATGAAATAGGACCATGATTTGGTGTGTATCTTATTATATTTCAGTCAACAAACCAATCAAATTATCTGTCATAATACATCTTTAAGGTTGTTATAATGAATGCAAGCTGTTGTCAGGTTGTTAAAAACTTTGACCATCAGCTTGACTAAGGGCCTTAATTCTAGTATACAAGTTGTCAATCTGGAAGTTTGCCTAGGTCATTCTGTGAGAGGATTCATTAGTGCAAGCGGGGAAATATTAATGCCATCTGAGATTTTAACAAGGATCGAGGAAGAGAAGCTTTATACCCCACTGATAATAGCCATAGACAATCAGTTTTGTTTTTCAAATGTGTACACAATTGGAAATTAAAACCCATGATTTCCAACTCAGTTGGAGTTATTTCCCTTTAACCAGTGGTAGAACACTGATTTTTTAAAGCTCTATAGTATTGATTTATGTTTGGGATACATACAAGATAATGACCTTTTTCTGCTGACAAGGCATCATCTGAGAACCAGAAATTTCATAACACATGGCCTTATCATTACACAGCGTGCAAGAGATAAGAAACACATCTAGCAGAACTACATATTACGGTCATCTATACCAATTAGAACTGTAAAAAAATTATAAAATCTTACAGTATGACTTACCATAATCAGACAGTGTACAACTGTTGGCAAAGGATAGTAACATGTCCAGCAGGGATACAGCTTCTGTTAGTTTGTATAGACAGCCAATCTGGTCTCTGATACTACCTAGAACCTCTTTTACCACTCTGTAAGACATAATGCAACAAGAGATATCTAATGATTTTATATCACTAGCATAACATAACATGCATAATGGGTATTGGAAATATCAGCTTTAACAAATAAAACTTCATGATGTACCTCAAGCAGTAAATGTAGGTCACAGTGACCAAAATACAGTTGAACAAGATTTAGGATTAAATTATGAAAAGTCAAGATATTGTCTATTAAAGTTTTAGGCAGAAGTTATTTTCATGTGAACCAGGTGACTTGTACATGTGATATGTCCTTGCAAATGTGAGTTTTTAAAAATAGTAAGGAAATATATTTTTC